AAGTATCACTTTGTGTTGTTTATTTTAAAAAAGCAGACATTTTTATTTTATATTTTACTTATTTTGAAAAAAAAATCTTTTTAAGAAATATTTGAAAAATTTTGATTTTATATATACTATATTCATGTATATTTACTCTTGTATTTATACTAGTTTTATAAATACAAGATGACTAAAGACAAAATGCAGGTCTAAAAATATACAAAATCAGCATTTCATTTTAAATTATAGCTTTATATAAATCTAAAAATTTATATAAATATTTGATACCAAAATCAAGCCAGCTTTTCCTGCTGCAAATTGGGTAAGAGACCATTCGTAACAATTTGGACTGTAGATAGCTATTCGATCCCCTCTTTTCAAACCACAAGCTATGAATCCTGAGGCTAAAGTTTCTACCTATAAAACAATTAAACAAGCGTTAAAATTAAATATATCGAAAAATACTCTCTTAAAAAATTCTTGCGTCAATTAAAAGGGATAAGGGAATTTAAAAAAAATTCGCATGTGTGGTTGGTTACTATCCTTGTTCAGGGTAAATTGCAGGAAGAAAAAAATCTAATATCTATAATTCTCTTACGTGGCTCCCAAATTTTGGCTGTATTTCTTTTCCGGCGGTGCAAACGTTTGCTTTGTTTTGTTTACGTTACTATTTCTTTTACATGGCGAATCGACCGACGATTGCCGCTAAAAATGTCACATGCCAAATCTAGCTGATGTGGCTCAACATATAGCGCTTTTAAAAACGGAAACTGAAATAACCAGAGAGCATCAGCTGCGGCAATCTCATACTATTAAGGAAGGCAGAAGTGAGTAGTCTTTGTCGATAGATCTCTATTTTAGTATTTTGTCAAAAGCGCTTTTTTTCACGAATTTATATATTACGAATTTATTTGACGATTTTTGATTTATATCACGAATTATATTATAGCACATTTCTAATAGGTTTAACGAATTACATGTCATTTATTTGAATTCAAATTTATTTTAATGACTTAGTATTTACTAAAAAGATGTAATTTTTTTTAAAAAAAAGTTTTTATATGGTTTTGAAACCATGTAAGATTGCGTATCAATCTTCTGGGGTTGGCGAGCGTTAGCGAGCCTGGTGGCGTAGCCCACTAGTTATTAAGATTTCCTTAGCTTGGAAAAGAAATTTGTATTGATTTGCAGGAAATGGAGTTGCTTATCATCTCGAGATAACTGGATTTACAAACTAACAATCTCGTCCTACTCATGCATTGTTTCTACTTTTAAAAGTTTTAAATAGTTTCGAAAATTACAAACAGTTATCTAAGTGCTATCTATATCCGTAATTAGTGCATAGGTACTTAAAGTTTTTTTTTGAAGTATTAAAGGGTGTTTTTTTTTACAATATAAGGTAAGGAAAGACCATTTAAATAATTATTTATTTATTTATTAATTTTTGAATTACGTGGTGAACATTTTTTCGTTATATTAGACTATTTAACTTAAATTTCAAAATTCAAAATTTTAAATAAGTCGGCGAAATAGGCCTGAAAAAAATAATTTGTAAAAGCTTATTTTTGAAGAAAGTTGTATTTTTATATGTTCGACGACGGCTGATTCATTTGAAATTGAGTAATTGAAATTAAATTTTTTTTCCTACATTAGAATTCGTGAACCTATTTTTTGAAGAAGAATAAGTCAAGCAGAAAAAAAAACTATAAAAGCTAATTTAAGTTATTGTTCGCTTGAAATTATCTTTAGCAGTAATGATTCTTAAATTTAGAGCAAAAAAAAAAGAAAAGAAAAAAAAAAGAAAAAGAAAATGTAGGTGCTTGCTGTCTGTTCAATTGGAACAGCATTTTCTAGATTGGGCTCCCCTCTATTTAGAGAGTTAAAGATTTGAAGTTTAAGAAAAAGGTATGCTTATTCCGAAAAAAATTATTTTCTTGTTTAATTTCATAATTTAAATGTTTCTTTAACGTTAATATTGCATCTTTACACGAAATACGATCACTAGATAAAGAGTTACTTTGGGTAATATTATACCTTCCAGAAAGTTTTTTCTTTTTTTTCCCAATTTTTTATTTTTTATTTTGGTTTACTTAGTTTTTTTCTTAGTTTCATAATTATTTTTATCGCTGAAGAATTCTGTAAGGATCAATTTTACTGCTTTACGATATTAATTTGTTGATTAATTTCATTAATTTAATGATTGATTTAATTAAATAAAACTATTTAATTACTTTCTTAAATGGCAAAATTTTCCTCATTATATATTATCAAAATATTTGCTAAAAACATTCTTTTGTCATGCACTGAGAAGAAGAACGTTATTTATAAAAATATCATGCAAAACGACTTTATTTATAATATTATTTTATTTTATTTTTAATTTAGTGTATTCTATAGCAGTAGTTACCAACTAGCGGCCCGCGAAGCCTTTTTTGTGGCCCGCGAACTGTAATATATAAGTTGTCATTTTTTTGCCGACAATTTTCGTAAAAAAACTACATGGGTTTAAAATACTTTTCTTTCTTTTAAAAAAAAATTTCTTCGCTTGAGTGAAATTTAACATGCCTACGGTGCAAAAAAAATTGTCTCAAGTTTTGAATCCAAGAAAATATTTATTCAAATGCAAAAGTAATCGTGTATGTTGCCCTTTTTTATTTCGTTTTTTCTTTTTTTTTTTTGTATTTTGTGAATATAATTTAGTATGTGTGCATCAGAAAGTTTCTCGAAGAAATCCTCTGATTTAACTTTTTGAAATCCTATTAATTTGAACGAAATTATTTACATTTGCAAATTTTGTAACCAGAATTTTTTAATATGCAATTAAATATTTTTAAAAATTTACTTCTTATTTTAGTTTGTAATTCAATATTTTTGTTTTGTACAACTGGATAAAAATCTGACAGTGATATTTAATGTTTCTTCAAACATAAAAGAATTCTATATAAAATTTTGATTAAGTTGCTGCCTGCCGTTTGACTGGTGTTTTTAATTGCGGTCCCCGGCCTCATGTAAGTCGGAAACCCCTGTTATAGAGCATTAAAAGTTTAATATTTTTTAAATTACATAAAATATTGATCAAAAAATTGAATAAATATTAATTTAGAATTTTTAATATAGAATGATTTGATGATAATTAAAGATTTGATGATGATGATTTGATAATAAAATGATTTGATGATGATTGATGATGACTAAATAAAATTAATACCAAATATTTTCTTTCTAATGCAACAAAAAGTAAATAAAATAAGCAATAAATGAAAATAAGTAACCTCTTTTTTAAATTCTAAGTATGTCTTTGATATTCCTTGATGATTTGAAGCAAATGCAATGCTATCTCCGTATGTATCAGCAGCGGTATCTAAAAGGTTGCCTAAAGTTATGGGAGTCAAGGGAATTGCTCCATTTTTAAAATAATAACTTCTGTTTTCCTTTTGTGGTACCGCACCGCTAAAGTACCTAAAATACAAGCAATCAATCATTAATCTTTTACCACCAAATTGAATAGTAAACGAATCATCACGAATTAAAGATCGCTGACCCTCAGTCTAATTACCAGATTATTCAAAAACCGATTAACCGGTTGTCCAATTATTGTTGATGGACTTTGTTTTTTTTCTACCTTATCCAAAAATAATTTTTTCCCTCAAAAACGCTTTTTCATTTTCAGAATATTCGAAAGGGATTGAAAAATGGCTTGTTTAGTCCCTTGGTAACCTTGCGAGGGACCACACGTTCGTTCCACACAGTTTTAATGTGGGTAGTAAGTAATTTCAAATAAGGGACCAGATTCCTAACAAAATTTTAAAAAAAGTTAAAACTTTCAAACATGCCATTTGCAACATGCTGTAATAGTCACTACTGCAACTGCCAATCCTAAGTCTATAAAAAGTATGAAGGTTAGTTACCTAGAAGCATTCTTACATCCGTCTTTTAAATTTGTCCAATTACTCGGTTCCGATTAGTACGGATAATCAGCGTTCTACTCTATTTATATCCGTGGTTTTCCTCTACGTATTTCTGGTATAGCTGCTCTCACAAAGTGATAAATTTGCACCGAAAGTTTACTCAACAAGTCACTTGCCTTTTAAATTGGATTCAAAATGACAGTGTAAACTAAAATCTGCACTTGTGTATAGATTATTCATCTATGATGAAGGAAATCAAAATTCAAAACAAAAGCATTAGACATTAGCACTACAAAATATTCTCAATTCTAGACGAATCATCGAAAAGGCAGCAAATTGGCCAAATCATAGTACCCAATCTTACCCCGAGAGTAGGGATATCGAAATGAAACGGAACAGAGCTGTACTAAATCCTTATTGTTTGTTAAGATATGAATCATTAGTAAATGTATAAATAAGTTGTAGTTTAGTAAGGTCGATTAAAAAGAATTTTTGTGACTGTACTGGCCAATAAATAAGGCTAGTGAAAAACAAAAGAACATTAGAGAATTGATATAGTATCAGAACAAATTTATCTATATAGACGCCGTGAATGACCACCAACACGCCAATATGATACTAAAAGGCCCTTCTTCTTGACAAGTTAAATGTAAATCAGAGTTTGTCCTCAAGAAAAAAAGAACCAATTTCGATGCTATCGAGGTCTCATCCCACTACACTGTTTGTCCCCTCTCTTGTCTATATGGGTGATTCTTTCTAAACATGACAATTCGGACCAAAAAATTTCTTCGAATTTAAAGTCTTCAAAATAATCTAAAAATTTTTTTGTATACTTCTTTAGTTACACTTATTAATATCTTACAGGCAGCAGTGCAGTTTATTGACATTTGCTCGAGAAAAAAAAAATAGAAATTCACCAAATCTTGAATGCCAGGAAAATGACATACTAGCTTAGAAGTTTAAAAAACAGTCATTTTAAGTTAATAGTAAGTAACTCAACTTTAGCCTTTACGTTAGATAGACCACAAATTGCTTAAATTAATTCTTTTTATCCACTGTAGGAAGAATCAAAAATTTTTTTGTTGCTGATATGTACAGAATAAAATTGTGTATAATAATCAATCATTAGATTATTAAAAAACTTCGATTACACTCAAGCATATTACAATCATACATAAACTTGGTAATAGGTTAATATTTTCTTACCCTCCTTACAGTATTAGCAGTTAAAAAAAAATTCTGGTAACACTTCAATGTTCTGGCATTCATAAGCCAGGAAAATGGCAGCCAGGAAAATGACAAATTCGCCATTTTATAGCATATAACTTTACTTTAATTTAATATTTTGACCTAAGACGTTTATATTCTGCCGAAAACAACTGGATTTCTTAAAATAACTCAGATAAATCTATGTAGTTTATGTTTTTAATGATTTGAAGAAGCCAGGAAAATGACAATTTAAAGACCTACTCACCTTGAAAAAATTTTTGAAATGGATTTTGAACCAGAAAATTGGTTCTTTATTCATGCAACAAGACATGTTCATAGAGGAGGGCATCTAATCAATCTATTAACATAAGATATTGATTGCTGGCTCTATCTATTTTGGTTATAAATCACAAAATAAAAGTTGCCAGGAAAATGACAGATATTCTTGGGACAAACAAATTATTGACAAAAAAAAAATACTTTAAACGAAATTTCTGTAAATAATACCCTCTGCATATATTCTAGAAATGCTTACACCGGTTGAGACAAAAAAAAATTAGATATTGAAAAATTTATGGGAAGTTTTGAAGCTAGTTATTATTGGAAACATTGTTTGGGACATACCAAGAAAATGACATTTTGAAGTTCAATTAAATTTTTTAACTATACAAAACAGTCAATGCTAGTGCAAAGTCATTTTAAAATTCTAACAGCAATGCTATTTATAATTTTTTTAAAAAAATGCTCTTTTAGTATTATAGTATTAGATCTTGGTGCAAGGGACAGTGAATTGTCATATTTCGTGAGAATCACCCATAGATTTACATTCATAAATTAAGTTTTTGTTTCAAAATTTTTTGCAATAAACAAAATTTTTCTAAATTTTAAAGCCATTGAATCATTTCGATACAGAGCACATACTTTTTTACTCACCTAATAACGGTATAGTTGCGTTTAAATCCATGGATGGTACGAATAAGTGAATTTACTTTCATTTTTCTGAATATCATCAAAGCGAAGTCTTTGAAATTAAAGAGTAATTTAGTATCCCGCTCCGCAGAATTTTCTGATTAGATATTTCGATTGAAGAAGAAACAAGAGTGAAACAAGTTATTTTATTATTGATTTGGTTTTTGCTTAGTAAACACAACTATAAACGATAAACGAACAATTTGTCTGAAAACCTACACAATAGTGATTAGATAAAGAATTTCCTCTGTGATTAGAAGAAGTCATTATTCCATCACTTTATAAATAATCACTAAATAGCTACTATACATTTGCAGTTAAAAAAAAATTTCTCGATTTTATTACTTAGAAATGCATTTTGCCTGTCTATTGATTATTAAACTTATCTTTATCAAACGCATCAAATTGATCTGCAGTTCAGTTTTTTAAGTACAGTTTAAAATAAAACTGATATTAATTTTGTTATCTTTAACACAATTTAATAAATGTTGACAGATAAATATTTAACTTTAAGAAAATGAATTAACTAACAACTCGTTAGTGTGACCAATACTGTCGCGCAAGGTGTCAGGACTTACTTAATATTAGCGCATATATTTTCTTTTAAATGTTTTTTTTTCCGGTCTGGATATCACTATGCTATGATCTTGCACACAACAAAGAACAAACTGTTTTTGTTCTCCATCAACGGCTAATAACCCATTAAAATCCTGCATTAATTTAACAACCTTTTTAAAAATGTCATAATCTGAATTTAACATACCAGATTTTCTTTTGGCATTCAGATATGACACCTTATTTCTCCAAGTTGAAGAACATTTTCGCAAAGAAACGCGAATTCATTCGAAATGGGAAAATTTCGGCTTTTAGTAGACACAAAGTCATCCACTATTTTGTCTAAAATACAGCCTTAGAGAAATTATTCTAATACAGTAATACTACTCCATAATAATGGAAATAAAAATAAAACTTTACAAGTTAGTCATATTTTACCTTTTGCATTGAATATATATCTGAGTCCTGATGGCTCACGGGATAAGCGTTCCCTTTCTAATGAGGTGAATCGGGTTCGAATTCCAGCGATGGCTGGTCGATACGAATTTCGCATCCGTCTTGCACCGACCACAGTGCTGACGTGAAATATCCTCAGTGGTAGACGGATCATGGGCTAGAGTCCCCTTGCCGTGGTTTTGCATTCTTCAACCTAAATCATTCTAATCATTACACAATTAATAATAACAACTCAGTCTTTCAAGCTGAACAACTTGCTATTTTAGAATGCATTAGATTCATCAAATCACAGACTTCATTTAAGGCGTCTAAAAAATATACAATCTGGTCGGATTCTAAAGCAGTATTATACTCTATAATCAACCCAGGCACGAAAAATTCACTCTCGGCTAAAATACAAAAATTACTCCTTAATACAAATATATTTATCTCATGGATTAAAGCACATGATGACAGAACAGGTAATGAAAATGCAGATGCCCTAGCTAAATTATCGACAACTAAACAACAAAATTACTCATATCCCTTCCCGATCTCACATCTTAAGAATCCACTTCAGAACTCTCTATTACAAATTTGGCAAAATTATTGGAACAATTCAGATAAGGGAAGAAGATTATATAAAATTATTAATAAAGTGGATTATTTTAAGACGATATCTTCAAAACAAGAAATCTGGTTTCTAACTGGGCATGGTCCTTTTCCATGTTATTTTAAATATCAAAACATCTCAGATAATGATCACTCCACGTGCGGCCTTCTGGGCACTCCAGAACACTATCTTACGGAATGCATCTATACAGCTTCATGGCATACTCGTGCATCGAATATCACTAATCTACCAACTTGGCAAAAACAATTCATAACTAACAATACACTTAAAACCAAATTATTATTAGTGATGAATTTTCTTTCTGATAATGATAATATTCTAAAATTTTAAATATAAAAAATAAAAAAAAATATTATATATTTTGGATTGCCTACCTATATGTTGTAAATACTGTACATATCTTTTCCATTTAACTTTTTTTTTATTGTTTAAACTATAATTAATATTTCTGTCTATTTGTAAACAGATTAATATTTCTGTATATTTGTAAACAAAATTTTAACCTCCTTTCTTTTGAAACTTTAAATAATTGATTGAGGTTGGCTGGAAGTAGTTGCCAGACGCGGATTATACGGGTAAGGGTTTTACTAACCTATGTACGTATCCGCGTCTGGAAGGAAAGGAAGGGGGAAAAAAAGTCCCCTTGCCGTCAGGCTAACCGTGGTCTTCCTCTCCATGTAACTCAAATGCGGATTAGTTACATAAAAAATTATCCTCCACGAAGGTAAATTTCCCCCATTACTTGATCCAGGAGTTCCCTTGTCTTCTGGATTGAGTTCAAAATTACAAAGTTATGTAGATTGACATTAGTAGTCGTAAACCCAAAAATTGGGCCAACTGTTCAAAGACGGTTATAAAATAAAACAAAATGAATATGGATCTGCTCGAAGGAGATCATTTCAACCCTGCCCTTTGGTTCCTCTAACTTCCTCAACTTTGTCATTTTTGTTTTTCCCTTTGAGGCATGGAAATTTTTAAATTTCCACCAAATATGCGAAGCATTCTAATGTAATTGTTGTTAATTGCTGCTAACTTTTAGCTTCTTTTCAAACATTTTCTTTCTTTCTTTTCAAAGCATGAATTATTTGGAAAGAGTTTCCAGATTGCAACGCATGAGCACAGCAGTCCTATTTGTCATTAAAGAATTGCACTTTTCTTTCAAAAAAATTTTTTTATCGATGTTTCTTTCCTAGCTCATTAAATGCAAATTTTAAGAGGAACGGGGTTAAAATGGAACACACACAATTTCCTCTACTTCATACTTTTTGAATACTTAAATAAGCATTTAATAATCCTGGATTTCTGTCTGTGGAAATAATAAATAAATAATTCAATAAGCAAAATTTTATATTTATGGCCCATTGAAACATAACCACAGTAATAAAAAAAAAAGAAAAACAGGAAAGGAAAAAAAAAAGAAATAGAATAAAATGTGTGCATCAAATTGGTAACAGGATTGAAACGGCAAGGGAAGGGGCCCTATATTCCCTTTTATGGTTACATGCTGTTGAACCTAACATCTTTTTTGGTAGCTTCATAAGCATTAATTGATTTTACAAGTCATTCACAGCGATTAAATTGTATACTCTTTGCTACCTGAATTTTAACTGTGATGTAATACTTTTATTATGACTAAAAATTTAAAAGTTGTAGCAAAGTTATTTTATTATTACTTTTTTTCTAACCTTATGTACACCTACATACGCTTATCTACCTTCGTACTACGTGTTTGTGTAATATTTACTGAAGTACTACTTCCAAGTCCAATAGAAAAACGTGTAGCCTATGTTTAAATGTCAAAAAACTATTGAAATAAGACTTGCTATTAGCTAGAATTAATTATAAAAAAACGCAAGAAATTATAGGTATTTTTTTAAAGAAAAAATACATAGGTTTTGCTACGAAATTAGTGTAATTAATTTATGATGGCGTTTTTAAGAATATCTCATTCAAATTACCCAATATTTTCATGTGATTTAAAGTCAAAAATTATTACCCAAATTCAATATATAAGTTTAAACGAAATTATGTGAACAAATTTGAGTTGTGAAAGACAAACCAAGGTGTGGAATGAAAGGCAAAAACATTTTCCAAAGAGGTACTTTCAGCGCCATCTGTTAGATTATTATTAAAATATCCTATTGAAGTTTCACAATGCAAATTTGTATAATTCCATAACTAACACCTACTAATTTTCTTAACCTTGATTAGTCTTGAAACGATTTTACTCAGGCATTTGCCGATATCCAACATGAAAAGTTGTAAGGATAAAATAATGCAAATAAACTTTTTTCATTCAACGTTAAATGCTAAAAGTCGTCATTTTTTCGGTTATTATAGGGAAGTGATGATAATATTGACTGAATAATGACCGTATTATGGATAGTTTGTTCACCTAAACAATTATATTCACTTGGGAAAGTTGACATTTACCGAATGTGGAAATTCACAGTAATACATTCTTTAAGAAGAATCAAATATGAATCACTCTTAATGAACTTTTGACCTAATTATCAGATTTTGAAGTACGAATTATTTAAATACTTTTTGTGTCACTCTCTAATCCAACAGTATTTTAATGTACAAAATTAATTTTAGGTTATCAAATAAGGAATGAAATCTTTTTAACTATTTCTCTTAATATAAATTTTGATGGAAAGATTCGAAAAAAAAAAGGTTTTCGCCCATGCGATTTAATTATTGCTCGTCTATTCTAAAGGCACCAATTCTAAAGTGTTTTATGCAATTGAAGCAAGAAATTGCACATTTCAAAGAGGGGAGTTTCTCTCTCCCTTGTTTCCCTTTATCTCACCGACACCAGTCAAACCCTGTCATAAATATTAATTAAAATAGTTTTTAACTCGGAACCATGGTCTCTGCCACAACTCCAAACGAATGGCGAGGGGAGTTCTTTCCATAGATAGAATATATATTTTGCTGCATTATTTTTAAGAAATCAAAAAATTAGATAATCAACTCAAAAAAATTTTCCGATTTAAACATGTAAAAAAATAAATGAAATCTATTAATAAATAAAATCTATTAATAAATAAAACAAAATGAAACGAATAAAATAATCTCTATTTATGAAAATAATAAATAAGTAAAATATTCAGAACTTTAAGACACACAGAATTTTAATAATATTTTAGCTAAGTATTTTTAAATGCCAAAAAAATAATAAATAAATAAAGAAAGAAAAATGAAATTAGTTTAATAATTCTTCCAAAAAAAAATAGAAAAAACATTTCATAGTTAGATTCTATTTTTCGTGAATTTTTCAACCAAATTTGCACAATTTTTTAAATTTTGACATTCTAATTTGTGCTGTTCATCAAGATATAATATTTGGGATTTATTACTTATTGAGATAAGAGATGTTATTGATTATATATTAAAATAATTTTATATTAAAATAATTTTATATTAAAATAAGGGATGTAAAGAATTATTAAAACGTTTTGTTATTGATTGAGTTTGTTATCGTGCTGGTAAAACTTTAAAGCTCACGCAATTAGTTACAGATAGAGGGTAAAGCGAATTAAGTTAAAATTAAGCAAATTAAGTAAAGGGGCTCAAATGTTTAATCTATTTCATGACTTTTATTTTCTGAAAATAAATATCAAAGTACATAAGGAATCCGTATCCATTGGAAAAAAGATTATGTTTGTTTACAAAACGTGCATTTTTGTGTTTGATTATGTTAATTATTGTTATTGTAATTAATGTTGGAAATGATAATTTATTATTGTTTGTTATGATAAGTAAGTATACTTAAAATGTGCACTTTGAACTATTATAGCCTAAACAAAGTACATGTAAATCCGATTAGTTGACTAAAAGTTACTTGAAATTATTCTTTTTTTGCTAATTGTAAACTTTTGTAATAGAAAGATATTTAATTTCAATATTAACTTAATGTTGGTGAGCAAAAGATTTTTAAATGCAGAATTGTCTTCATTTCGATTCATAGTCCAATTTGATCTCTAAATCAAAAATTATTATGAAAGATTCCTTTTCCATTTTGCTGATTATCCAGCTTTTCAAAATAAAACTTATTTATAGTTTTAATTTTTTTTCCTTGAAAGTGAACAAAATATTTTTTATCTTATCAGAACGGATATACAAATTAGTTACTTTTTATTATAAAAACGAGATCCGACATTAGATCAAATTTTTTTTTGAATAATATATTTTTTTTTATTCTTCATTTTTTATTAAGAATCCTGCCAATGCATTATGGTTTGTGAGCCTAGAAAATTTCAAAAAGTAAAAGGATTTCAGAAAAAATATTCATCATCTAATATTCATTCAATCATTTATATTCATTGATAATAATATTCATTAATAATATTCATTCCTTTATAAGATCAAAAGTTATAATGAATAATACCTTGTATTTCATTTCATTTTAATGACTGTTCAGTTTTGAAATGAAATTTCCTCAATTTTGTAATGTAATGTTGTAATTTTTTTTTTAGGTAGTATTGCGCCTCTAGTAAACTTATCTTTAAAAATTTATCATTGTTGGTGATTTGAAAATGTTTGAATCGTAATTAAAAATTATCTCATTTCTAGTAATAGGAATTAATTTTAAGATTAATAGTTTAATTAATGATTCTCATTATTTTATTTTAGCGAATGTATTTTTGTAAATATAAATTATATAAAGTTGAATTCGAAAAGTTCATTATTGTTGATGAACCAAAGATTTTAAAGCAAAACTGTTTAATCAAGCAATTAAGCAAAATGGTCTTCTTTTATATTCATAGCCCGATTTGATCAAAATTTATTATCAATGGTTCCTTTTATTTTAACGACAGTAAAGTTATAAAGTAAAAATTCTTTAAAGTTTAAATTTGGAACCTTACAATTTTTGTTGAGAAAAAGATTAGTAAACTGATTAAATCGGATTTAAAAGCTATCTAAATTTTTATATTGATAGTCTGTTGCAATTTGAAGTTCAATTACTAAATTATTCTTTTTATTTCATTTCGACGACTGAATATTTTTTAACATAAAATTTATATAATGTTGAATTTTGAAAGGTTATCATATTTAGTGAGATTCGGATTTTTAGGTTTAAAATGGAATTAAAAACTGTCTTCTTTCTTATTCATAGACTTTTGGTCATCCCCCCCCCTAAATTATCTTAAAATTCAAAATTATATATTTCTATCGCAAGACTTAAGATTAAGTATTATAAGAGATTCGAAGTTATCATTTAAAAGAAATTATTTGTAATATTTTACAAAAAAAAACTTGATATTTTTTAAAATTTTCTTTTCTACAAAATAATATAATAATATTTAGATATAACAATAATAACTAAAACTTAAATACAAAAACTGTTTGAAAACAAAACAATTCTTTAAATCTAGTTGAAATTCGAAAATAAAGGCCACTTATAAATAAAAAAGAAGTTTTTAGGCCTATTCCGGATAACTTAAAGGAATTTGAGCTTATATACAGAAAAGGTATATATATATATACATACATAAAATCTTATAGTACGTCTAATAATATGGCCAGGGACTGTCTATATATGCATTTGTAAAAAAAAGATATCACCCTGAATAACTCTTGTTCTAATGATCGGATTTTCACGATCTAAGTGTCAATCTTAATGGTTCTCGGGGGTGACCTCAAATATGCTAATTAATTAGTGCTAACTATTAATTAAGTTACGAAATCAGACACAAAAACGTACTTTCTCTGAATAAACATGTATTTTTTTAACATATTTGGAATCCTGACCCTTAAAATAGGGGGGGTAGACAAAATTTCGAAAAAAATGGGTTGTAAATTAGGTCGCAATAAGGATTTATATATCTGGCGATGGTTTAAAAATANGGGGTCAAAACTTTGGATCGCTCTCCTGACCAAACTATGGGGACTATATTTCCCAGATTGCGGCTACTCGCTATATTTTGAAGGTTAGGAATCCAAATATGTAAAAAAAAATACATGTTTATTCAGAGAAAGTACGTTTTTGTGTCTGATTTCGTAACTTAATTAATAGTTAGCACTAATTAATTAGCCTATTTGAGGTCACCCCCGGGAACCATTAAGATTGACACTTAGATCGTGAAAATCCGATCATTAGAACAAAAGTTATTCAAGGTGATATCTTTTTTTTTTGCGGACTGTACGTATCTATATTTTTACATACACACACATACATTTTAAATGTATGCGTACATTATGTACGTAAGTACGGATATACTATGTACTATATATTATGTACGGAAATACAATGTATGTAAGTATTTAACTTCTTTTACTTAGGAATGCAAGTATTTATATACAGTGTTCGCTCGTGTATATACACGAATAAGCATACAGCGTAGTTAAGTTCTCATGTAAGTACAACATATTTATGTATTCGAGCAGTAACTATTTTTACAATTACTCGTCAGATTATGATTGATTGGTAATCGTACATATTGATTACATTGATTGTTTAAAATAAAAGATTTCGGTCACCTGTCATATACTAGATATCGCATCTTGTTGTGCTTGCAAGTAATCATGTTCACTTTTTATTTGAAATGTTTATAAAAATAAGTAGTTTATTACCATAAACGTTTCATTTGTAGCTATCCCAATCGTAGTGAATTAGAACATTCCGCGCCCATTTTTCTTGAGCTGTGAAATTAAGTTATTCTTGATTAATGAATAAAGAATAAGGATAAACCGGACTATATATCTTAATTGTTCAGTTGTCTCTCGATCTCTTCAGATTTTATCAGATTGCGTGAAGATAGAATATATTTTTCGTGTGCACAGAATAAAAGTCTATCCAGGAAATTACTCTGGTGCTCCAGTGTAAGTTCCGAATCAGCTCTCCGACTTATGTCAAAGCTTTGTCAATTACCAATTGTCGAAATGATAAAAGATTAGGAGGCAAGCTGAAACAACGAGATATCAAATTTAAAATAGAAAACAGATTAAATTTATAACATCGAATGTCGGAAGATAGGTTGAAATGTTATTAAGTGAAAGTAAGGAGTGGCGGTCACTCTATTAATTTTGACTAAACTATTTTAAAACTCTCCAAAAAATAGTTTTAAAATTAAAATTTTACTCTTCATAATTTGCTCGATCTTTTTTTTTCCTTTTAACTTAGTACTATGATTGAAGGGTGAGTATATAGTTTTACCATTTGAGCCACAACAAACTGTGTACCTTGTGCACAATACATTTCCCCCCCTCAAGTTTCAGGTAAAAAAAAGTAATGTTTTTAATGTAATGTAATGTTGTAATGTTTTTATTTTTAGGAGTTTTAGTATTGCGGCTTCAGAAAGTACAAACCATAGCTATCATTTTAAAAATGGCAATATACCACTGTCTTCCATAACACTAGGAGAGCTTCTGGACAATGCTGTTGATACATATGGTGACAGAATTTACGTTGTGTCCCATCATCAAGGAATTTCAAAAACTTACTCCGAATTTAGAAATGAGGTAATTTTTTTTAAAAAAATTATTTAAAAAATTTTATTTATAGTTTCTAGTAGCATTTTCACAAAATTTCAAAAGAGTAATAAATACTCTACTATTATCTTCATATAACATAAAAACATAATGATTTAATACAGTTTTCCATTGTTGTCGTTGTATTTTTATTGGCCAGAAAATCACATGGTAAGATCCAGTTTTACCTCATTAATTTTGCATACTGTTTTTTGATGCTATTAGCATAAAATTAATAAAAGTCATAAAGGTATTGTTTGCCTGTAAATATTTTTGTATTAAAAGTACTTACTCGTACTGCTGTTATTACTGTTCTGATTTTGACTAAATTATGAGCTTAAAATTTGAATATTTTTTTTTTGTTATGGGTTAGTTCTACGCTACATTTAAGGATACAGTTATTTAAATTAGTGTTTAACCGTATAAACCGTTTTTCAATCATTATTATTTGTGCAAATCACAATAATATACTATTATAAATTACAGTTAAAGAGATTCGTTAAATGATTTAGAACTTAACGATGAGCTTCATGCGCAATGTGATGCATGAGAAAATTGTATTTAATATGTCTGTTTGAAAAAACAAAATATTAAATTACTGTTGTGAACTCACTAAACTTGCTGTAAAATATACTTTTAAAACGTTTATTGTTATTAATTATTATTTGGATTATTTGGAATTATTTGGATGTCGGAAGTAGGGGCATCGCGAGTATTTCTTGTAATATACCATACACTATGCGTTTCTAGAATAATAAGTTTTCCTCCAGTATTTTTTACTTTTATACACATTTAACGAATTTGTTTTTAACGAAAGATTTGTCATCAGATAGGTTAGATAAAATGTATGGTATCAAAGTTTAATATAGCTATGACACATCGATTTCAGATTTGAGAAGGCAGATTTGAATAGATTCATGATCATTAAAGAAATATGCTTTGCAAAGCGTGAAACAGACTTTTTCTTAACATTTCTGTTCCTTATTTTTTATTGTTTAGCTAAAATTTGATCCATTGCAGTCGTATATCTGATTTCAGCAACCAGTTTCCATCGAGTATCAACATAGTACAATATACAACCGTAATGCTTAGCATACTTTTTGTTTTAGGTTTCTTCTGGTTTGGTTGGGAAAAAATGAACTTTTAAAATTTATTTTAATTTGGTTTTGAGAGAATTCAGCAAGTTGCAATATTCATAATTATTTTTTTTTTTGCAAGAATAATTTGAATTGGTACGAATTCAGACTCTCATGCTTTTTTGGGAACTTTAATCCTCAACTAATACCTTTAAATATTTCATTACCTGTGGATGTTCACTTAGTATTGCGAGTTAAACTTCTGAATCCAATACAATTGCATTTGAAGTTTGTCTTTATTATTGAAATCCCATATTTCTAAAATGTCAAAGTAAGTGCTGAGCTGGGCTTAAAAAATCTGAAAAATTTCATACGCCTTGCCGGGCTTGTTGAATTACAAAATTAATGCCCGAATAAAACTTTTACTTGCCAAAAAATATTTCTTATGTATACTTTCGAAAACATATGAATGTTTATAAAGTACGAAAAATGACCGAATGCCTACTTTGAGCTTTTGTATTTCACATACTAGAACTTCATGATTATGGTTACAGTGTCTAGTCTTAAATGTGTTAATTAATAAGAGGGAGGAAGAATTCCCAAATATATTAACTTGAATAGCAAGTCTCTTTTTTTAAGAGAAATTTTTTTTTCTAATGAAATAAACTAGTTCTTAGATATTTCTTAAACTTTTCAAAGAAAAATTTTTTTTGATCATGTTACATTATTCTGAACAATATTTTAAATTCTATTTTTCAAAACAAAATAACTTTTGTTATGATAAATTATTTTATAGGTTCAAACTTTAGCTTCTGGATTCATAGCTTCGGGATTGAAACGAGGTGATCGACTAGCTATCTTCAGTCCAAATTGTTACGAATGGGCCCTTACGCAGTTTGCTGCAGCGAAAGCGGGTTTGATTTTGGTATGAAGTACTTAAATCTATTTTTTACAAATTTAAAATATACCTGAACAAATTTCGTTCGAATGCCTAAAATACGTATGCATCGAAATACGTCGATATTTTTAAATTACGCATGCATTATCATAAAACTAATCATCTGCGTTTAACATATTATTATTTTTTTTATTAATAATACCAGTAAATAATAACTAAAATGTTTTCTTGATTGAAATTAAGTTGGAATGGTGTTTTCCATAGGATCCTATTTCTGGGAAATCCTACTAAGGAAATCTATTACTGATAAAGTCATTTCCAGGAAAATACTCTATGTGAACATTTCCTCAAAATGAGGAATTATTATCTGCTATTGCATAAGGAATTGAATTTCGAAAAAAGCTTTAAGCTTAATGCAACATATCAACACAATCACCTAAGGAGCAACAATAAAATCTACAGCAACAATAAAAGGTGCCTACCGGAGCCTAAATAATCTTAAAGTGGGGAGCATCTATAATCTGGAATCTATAATTATCAGTCAATTCTTGATCAACAATTATCAAATTATTTGAAGTTATAGAATAAAATTTTTACTTAATTTTTTTTATTGTATTGTAACACCTAAAAAATCTTCTCAATTTACCAAAAAATAATTCTAAATATTTTAACTTTTTTCATGCAAAGAACAACTTTAAACAATTTGGAAAATTCTGCATACTGAGTGATTGTTTTTATCTTTATCAACCACTGTTCCTAGAATCCACTATAAGAAAATAAAATATTACCGTAGTTTTTAATAAAAATGTATTTTTATATACAAGGTTTAATTTCACAATTGACAAATTGTTTTAATCTAGCATAATTGCTTTCAAACTTTTACTAAAACGCACTAGAACTTGAGCGTTTTGCACTCGCCCTTACCTTGAAAACCTGGTTGTAAACCCAACGCACTTACCCATTAACACGTGATTTCTAGATATGTATATGTGAGACTAGATATGTACTGAGTCCTAAAAAATTTTCGAGTCCGGGTAAACGGTGGAAACTGAATTTTTTATAAGGCAGGTTCCGGGTACCGAGCAAGAATTTTCTTTGTTACCCAGTCGACTATTAAAACATTTATGCGAAACAATGGAATACTCAGATATTTTTTATCGAACAAATACTTACAAAGTATAGTTCGAAGGAGATTTATTGTGCACCTATATAAGCAAAAACATGGTTATTATTAGATTTTTTTAAAAATAAATTTAAAAAAAAGTTACTGATTTAAAAGTGGGTTGACTGTTTGGATGTAGACTGATTGCTAAGAAGGGGATACATCTTCTAAAAGGGGACTTTATTAAATTTTCAATAGCATTTATTATAATCTACATAGTATGACTGTATTTTAAATGAAATTTTTTTTCAATATTGGGGTCTGATATTTATTCAACCGATAACCACAGATGTAATTTATGTGCAATATCTACCTTAGTACAGTCTCTTAAGATGTTCAATATTAGGTGAGATATTGTGAGTTGGTGTGGAAAAATACAGGTTGTTTAAACGTTTTGTATCAAAGAGAATAATAAATGGTTTTTCTCATAGTTAAACACTTTGAATATCATATTATTTATGTTTATTTGACTTTTTTGTTTTATTATTGACAATTAAATAAAATGTTATAAGCAATTAAATAAATTGTTATTTAACCATTATTTTCCTAAAAATTTCAAACAGTGCATGTTACAAGTGATGCTGAGTGCAGCTAATCTTTATTCCGATGGGATGAGCTACAAAAAAACATGCTCACCTAACTTCATATCATAAAACTACCTGGAAGGGCAACAACGATAATAAATAAAAATTTTAATGAAAAGCTCTACTAATTGTGTTGGTATATGCCCTTTAGTTTTGTGCTCAATTTCATATTGTTGTTTTGTACTGATTTATAGATTATTTTCCCTTTTTTTACACCTCCTATTATAAACGAGTATTCAGCTAGTGCTAAATAAAATAAAAGTCTCAAACAGCATCGAGTGATCAGATATTACACACAATAATGAATAATGTATTGAAATGTGAACTTTCATCATTTTTTCCTTTAACGTTCTAGGTAAATCTTAATTTCTTATCTGAATCTGAAGAAGTTGAGTGGTACCTCAAAACCGTGAGTTAATGGAATTGTTTACAATCTCACGTTTTTAATTATACTATTTCTTGATTACTGTGCCTTATTTTATATCCTCTATGGTTTAGGTATCATGTACAGCTTTAATAATGTATGACAAATATAGGAGACACGACTACTATGAAATACTCAACAGGATAATTCCCGATTTACCGACAAGTGATCCGAAGAATCTCAAAAGTGAGAAGTAAGCGTCCTCAATTTTCCAAAAAACTATAAAATGCAGGAGAACTCAAATTAACATCGTCTTCTTTTTCACTTTAGGTTTCCAGGCTTAAAATATATTATGGTGATTTCTGATGAGCATAAAAAGTAAGAAATCCGTATTTTGACCAATGAATGCTAAAAAATATACACATAAAATATCCTAATTTGTGCTTTAGTTTTATAAAGTTTAGAGACAGGCGAAAACACAGTTTGAACAAGGAACTGTCTAAAATTATATGCGTGATGTTACTGACTATAGGTTTCCAGGCTATATATATATATANACCAATGCTCTAGATATCTAATGCCAAGACATTTTGAACGTTGACAAAATAACCGAAAATTCTTAGAACTTCAGTTTTTAAATGTCTACCACTATAAAATATATTTTGAAAACTGCGCAGTACTTGGCAGCTCTGCATGATGTATGCTTGTAATAAAATAACTGTATTACTTTATTTTTTTGTTCTTGAACGAAAAGACTTAGTCAAAAAAATGAAACATAGATAAAACGGTCAAAGTATTTAGCTTTTTTTGCTGATTAGATTTAGTTTATACACCGAAGAGCCATTACATTATGACCACCCTGCTAATAACATGTAGGACCACCTTTAGTTATCAAAACTGCTAGCACCACCCACCGTGGCATTGATTCCACAAGGTGCTGACAGGTAGTCTGAGGTATCAGGTACCAAGCGCTCACCAACTGTTTCTGCAATTCCCTCACATTGCGAGGGGGTAGCGTGCAGCACGAATTTGTTTCTCCAAGTAGGAGCAAAATGCTCTATTGGATTAAGATCAGGTGAATTTGGGGGTCAAGAAAGGACTTGAAAGTCACTGGAATGTTCCTCGACGATTCGACCTTTATGACATGGTGCATTATCCTGTTAGTAAACACCATCCCCCGTAGGAAAAACTGTAGCAATGAATGGGTGAACCTGGTCTGCAACTATGTTCAAGTATCTTACAGACGTCAGGGATAGTTCCATGAGGATTATGGGTCCCAATGTGCCCCATGAAAAACATTGTTCCTGGGCGAGAAACCATGAAAACCTGGGCGAGCCCATTGTTATAGATGGAGGGGGGTCATAATGTAATGGCTCTTTGGTGTATGTATATATATATATATATATATTTAATGGTAGTTATTCTTATGTTTCACGACTCTACTTTTTAGAGTAATATTTTATAATACATTTTTTTTACTTTTTAGAACATATTTAGTTCTGAACTTGTTATCTCAAAAACTCGCTATCTCGAAATTTTTTAAGCGTTTCTTCAACTTTGAGGTATCGAGAGTAAACTGTATATATATATTTCTTTGCTTTATATTTGTTTGAACTTTATTGAATTTTGGGAATAATAATACATAACTTGGTATTAACTATATAATTGTATATCATTTAAAAAACAAAACATTATTTTTTTCATTGCTAATTTATAAACTTACAGTAGTTGAAAAGATTTCATTTAACAAGTTTTTATTCTTTGTTAGTATTTTGCACACATTTAAGATCGTCTTAAGCGGTTATTCCGGGGATTATATAGTTCCATAGATAATCATTATTTCTACGGCACCTAGTGTATTTTTACATTTTATCACATTTCTTCCGCCTTTTTTTATTGTCTTAGTTATGGTTTGTAAACCGTTTCATTTTGCGAATATGTATTATCGATTTTTTTCAGCTACTTTTTTCCTAATTTTGAGCTTTTCGTCTAACGAAACTATAATACACAGTCACAATATTTCTCTAAATTACACACTTAAAAAAATGTCTCTTATCTAATAAATAACTGCAAAAAAAGATTAATTATTTATTTTGCTTATAATTTTAAATAATTTAATGAAATATAATTCACGAAAATTTTCTTTATTTGACTAAATTACTGAGGGGAATTATACCGAAGAGCCATTACATTATGACCACCCTCCATCTATAACAATGGGCTCGCCCAGGTTTTCATGGTTTCTCGGCCAAGAACAATGTCTTCAAGGGGCACATTATGACCCATAATCATATATGGCAGTACTTTTACTTTCGTTACTTGTACCGCCGGTACAAGTAAAAAGTACGTACTTTTACTTGTACTTCGTTACTTTTTAAATTTAATACTTTAACTTGTACTTTCGTTACTTTTTTAGAGAAAAAGTACAAGTATTTGTAACGGAAATATCGAATGAAATCGTTACTTTTTTTTAAAACTCGGTAAGCTTTCTAAAAAAAAAAAAGACAAAAAAAATTAAATAAAAAAAAAATGCTTGTTTTTTTAATTTATAAAATTAATGTGCAATATATATGCATTCACAGCTAACTTCGTGTTTAAATACCTTGACCTCCCGTGAAGCGCTTATTCAGCGTGGCTAAGCACGTTCTGAGAAATTCTCGCAGCAGACTCAGTAACACCAATTTCGAAATGTAATTACAGTAGAGTCCCGATTATCCGAGCCCCAATTTTCCGAGTTTCCGCTTTAACCGAGCTATCAAATATTTCACACATCTTTTTTTTTCTAGTTTATTTTTTATTCTTAAAACTACCGCCGAAAAAATTCTGAATTTTATCTTCCAAACACTCAGTAAAACAAGCTGAAGGACAACACGAGACTACCGATTAAATAATCGTTAATATCATCAATAATGAAAATGAATCTAGCTAAGATGATGAAGACAGTGACGATAAAAATCAACATTTAAAAATCTCTCAACATAAAAAAAATCATCAGAAAAACTATCGCAAGTGCTATTGAATATATAGAACAACAAGAGGAGGGTACACCAGCTTCCCTGTTTATCCCTTAAAAAATGGCCAAACATGTCGAAATAATGTAAAACAAAGAACGATTAAGGACTTTTTTTTAGTAAAAACGCTTTAATTCTCTTTAAGTATTCTCTTTAAGTGCTTTGAAGTAAGATTTTAATAGTAATAAAAATTGTATGTGGTGGACTCGTATAAATTTTGCATCTGTTAAATAAATTATTTCTATACCTACTCTTTTTTTTCTCCATTTTTATGCTCTTTCTTTTAACCGAATTTTTCGGTTATCTGAGTTAGTCGTGGTCCACATTAACTCGGATAATCGGGACTCTACTGTATTTTGCAAAATGAATAAAAATATTAATTAGTAAGTTATTTTCATTCATTTTCGAGTTTTATGCATTTATTTAATACATTTTAAATAAAAAATGTTGGATTTTGTTATTACGTTTTTCAATTTTCTTTTTGAACTCACTAATAATACATTTTTGTCTTAATACATTTTTTACTAAATACATTTTTACCTAGTATATTTTTTACTAAAATTATGTTTATGCCCGACCTTGTCAAACAACGCCCAGTCAAATCTCTAAGAACTTCAGAACTATTTGGGCTATTGAAAACTATTATAATTACTATTTTAATTGAAAACTCGAAGGTATTAATTTAGCCGCTGATACTGAAATTCGTTTACAAATTTTAATTATTCCGTTAGGCAGAAACGTTCGGAAAATGATTTCCTCGCATGACTTCAACATTAGCCATTGTTACAAATAAAACTATAGACTGTTCTGTTTCATGTTATACTGCACATTCAATTATTGTTTACTAACACAAAAATCACAAAGCTATCTGAAACCCCGTGTTTGCTTTGTTTATGTTTGTGCTTTTAAAACGCGTTTCTATAGATTAGAACAATTTTAAATCAATGGTAATTTAAATAAATAAAAATAGTAAACTAAAAATTAAAATCAATAGATAAAATTTCTTTTTCGTGCAAATCCATAAAAAGTTTGATATTAAAATTATATTTAATTTTAAAATTATATTATACGATTATATTATAAAATCTAATATATATAATTCTCTTACTTGGCTCCCAAATTTTGGCTGTATTTCTTTTCCGCCGATGGCAACGTTTGCTTTGTTTTGTTTACGTTACTATTTCTCTTACACGGCGAATCGACCAATGATTGCCGCTAAAAATGTCACATGCCAAATCTAGCTGAGGTGGCTCAACATATAGCTTTTTTAAAAGTGGAAACTGAAGTAACCAGAGAGCATCAGCTGTGGCAATCTCATACTATTAAGCTGGGCAGAAGTGAGCAGTCTTTGTCTATAGATCTCTATTTTAGTATTTTGTCGAAAGCGCTTTTTTTCACGAAATATTTTGACGAATATTACGAATTTATTTGACGATTTTTGATTTATATCACGAATTATACTACAGCACATTTTTAAAAGGTTTAACGCATTACATGTCATTTATTTGAATTCAAATTTATTTTGATGACTTAGTATTTACTAAAAAGGTGTAATTTTTTTTTAAAAAAGTTTTTATATGGATTTGAATGATTGTTTTGAATTCTTAGAATTTTGTGCATTTGCAATGTACCTAAGTTAGTAGCGAGCGAAGCGAGCTTTGTTTGCGAAGCAAACCACATAAGATTGCGTAGCGATTTACGGGGGTTGGTGAGCGTAAGCGAGCAGGAGGCGCAGCCCTCTAGTTATATTATAATATTCTTGCGAATTTAAAAATAAATTAATGTCCATAATTTTCAAAATTAAAAATAATTAAATAAATAACAACAATTTTGCAAAAACATTAAAGAACATAATAATAATATTCAATAAAATTTTAGTTTACTTTGAATTTTCGATTTCTTAGAAATGCACTTTTAAATCGTTACTTTTTTTGTTTAGTACTTGTACTTTTACTTGTACTTTTTACTCGCTACTTTTTAAAGTAAGAACTTTTTACTCGTTACTTTTTTTAAAAATACTTGTACTTTTACTCGTTACTTTTTAAAAGTAACGTTGCCATATATG